AAAAAAAAAAAAAAAAAAATCATTTCCTTTGTGAAGGAAGTTTATGCTAGTAATATTTTTACATGTAATTTTCCTTAAAGTTTCTTTGACCTGCCTCTGTATTGAGCTGGCCTTGTCTCTGGAATGGCCAGGGTTCTAGGCCTCATTGTCATAGAGGCCTTGCGATCCCCAAGACTAGATTGTGGTGAAAGTGAAATGATTAAAATCATATACTACATTGAAAAAGAAGGTAGTGGGAAGAGCAATATGGATCTTTATCCATATTCTACAAGCTGTGATTTAGTTAGTCCCAGCAGGGACAGAATCCCCGACATCTAATCATGCAATACATCCTTCTGCAGGCATGATTTCTGAGTAACACTTTTGGCTAAATTTTTATACAGTTTCTTTGTGAACAATAGCTTTCCTGGGAAAAACACATTTTTTTTTTTCAGAAAAAGAGTGATAGAACCAGAGGTTAAAGTAATACTACAAACCAGCTACTTATCCACAGTTTTTTCTTATATAGTATTCTGACCGGTATTTTCATACATGTCTTACGGCACTGGTCCTACAACCAAAAGCGCGTGTCAAACCTATTTTATAGATGAACAACTTGAGGTCTGCTGCACTTGGGAACATTCCAGGGTCCCTGCTTTGTACACGATATGACCAGCACTAGACTCAGTGTGAGGTGATAGTGCCTGCCCTGTCTTTACTGCTACCAACAAGAACACAGCTTTGTTCTTGAATTTATTTCTTTTCTAGAGGAATAAAAACTATCTCCCAATGTGTAGAAAGACCCTGTGTCCAAGGCACTGGAGCCTGGCCTGAATTAATGTAAAACTGAGCAGGCGATGAGTGCACCGGACTTCCAGGGAACTGCCCTCGTTCATCTCCCTCACCCGTGTCAGTAGAAGTCACTCCCTGTCCCTTTACTCACCCTGGAGATGCTCCAGCAGCAACAGCCTTTCTGACATAAAAGTTAACTTTGGACCATGATGTTCAGAGCTTGGGTTATGTGCCTGACCAGCAAAATAGCACACTATCAAATTTCCCCTAGTGGATTATAAGCAGTTTGACAGGCAGCATAATCTACTCCTTGTATTGGCGGGGCAACTAGGATTGTTTTTGAGACCATCTTTACACTTCTGTAGGAGTTCAATGGAATGAATTACTAGAAGAGGTCCACATAACACATTTGTGGGAGCACGACCTTATGTAGATAGGAAAACCCACAGCTCCCCCCAGGTTGTAGGTGAGACAGGCCATGCTCACCACAGTACAAGGAAGGAAAACATTTGCTATGACTGAACTCCCCAGCCCATGAGTAGGAAGTAAGGGCTTCTTTACAAAAAACCTTCCATCTCCAGTCTTCGATGTGTTTCTGCGCACAGGGAAGTCCTGATTTTCAATATGCCCAGGGGCACTAGTGCTGATGTTCATACAAAGACCACCATGTGCACTGCAAAAAGCAGCTCACAGCTTCCCAGAATGGCCATGAATTCAAGGAAAGGAAAAAATTTTCTTCCTGCTAAGATTGGAGGTCACTGGGCAGGGAAGTACAGACAAGTGCTAATGGGTGAAGAACAGGTCCTCCTTGTGCGAATGAGACTGATACTATATCAGAAGTACCTGTCCCATAGTAGGTGATACTTGAAAAGGTGAAAAATTTGCAGGCCTTTGTCCCATGCTTAACAACTCCCAGAAGAGGGGAGAATTTTATCTTAAATCATATTTGATGTGTTTGGTTGAGCATCTGGTGTATAAGCACGTACAAGGACCCTGAAGTCCTCACTTCCGTAGCTTGTCCTGATCGCTTTTACAGCCCTGTGAGCATTATAGACTACTTGTCCTGAAAAGGGGCATTAGATGGTTGTGTGCCACTGAAACACTAGCAGACCCATTCCTCATCTGTTAGAGCCATCTCTGCAGGAGGTGCTGCAGGACAAGTGCATTAATCCTCACGCCCTGTGCACATAGCACATGGTGTTCTTTGTGTGCACACCTAGTAGTTTCAAACATGAATGTTTGCTCACTTTGACAGGAACAAGCTGATTCTGCACCCTGAAAGTCCTGGTCATGAGCCACCCACAGATACTGACTGTAAAGTTTCCTTCATGCCTTACACACACCCTTCAGGTATTTGAGATGTATTTGTAAGTCTCATGAGAGTTGCATAGTCCTCCCCAGTGCAAATGTCAGGTGATACTAAAATCACCCAAATCCCTGTGCTGATTGGAGTCTTCCTCCTCCTGCGGCTGTGCCCCATTGGCCTGCTCTCTCCTGGACCTGGGCTCAGTGTGCCCAGTTTGGAACATTATGCTCTCTCTATCTCTACCACCACTCACTCAGCCCCACACAGAACCTGATGGGAACATGCAAATACCACCATCTGAAGATGTGTGATAAAAATAATGTCCAAAGTCCCTCCTATGTGACTCCAAAAGACCTGAGGGAATTGCACAACAGAAAAGCACCATGGATACATTTTTGTTTCCACATGAGAACATTAACCAGACTCAGTTTAGGAGTTGAGCTGAGAGCAGGCACTGCACAACCCCTCAGCATGGACAGGAACCTTGATTTGAATAGAGGTTTCAAAGAGGAGCAGGAGGAGGAGGAGGAGGAGGAGGAGGAGGAGGAGGA